CGTGCGCGTGGACAGCACGCTACGACGATCGAAGCCAGAAATGGCATCCTGCGCCATCTACTTCGCGTCATGGAAGCTGAACTGAATAGGTTGGACATACCTCTTGTGTTCACACGGCTACTGCACGAGGCTTTGTTCGCCGCGAGCGCGTTCACTTTCTATAACGAGGTGTCTCCGTATAGCGCTGTGTTTGGGTGGCGACCAGCAATGGTTCCTGACCTGCCTGTCCTGGACCACGAGCAGTCGACGGAAACGTCAGAACATTCTCGTGAGCAGACGATACGCAGGGTATGTATTGAAGCTATCACACAGGCCACAGCAGCAGCTAAGACCAATCGCGCCTTACGCACTAGGACAACTCTTACTGGTCAGCACTATTACGACGAAGGAGACTTGGTCGATTCTCATCGCCCCACGACCACGGAGGATGACTGGAGAGGCTGGGACGGCCCATTCCCAGTTGTGAAGAATGATCCCGAAAGGGGTCAAGTCATCATCCGAGTGGGCAATCGAGATGTTCAAGTACAGCGCGGCGATGCAAGACATTCACTATATATTGAAGCACTGATCGCCCGAGAGATTGGCCCCGACTACACGGCACTATGCACAGTGTTGACGTTCGTGGCCAGTTGATCAGCGGGGAGACCTGCTCTGACCATTGGCTATGTGCCGACCAAGAAAGGGGCGCTTCAGATGACGAGTGCACGCCGTCTATCTCTTAAGGTACGTCTAGCTTTACAGTACCCCATCAGAAACTTCTTCCGCATTGGGAATGTAGTTTCAGTCAGGCTAGCTGAGAGTATTCATAAGCTACCTCTGGTTACGTATGCTGACAGCTGCACCTTGGCCCATTATGACAACGACGTGAATCCAGGATTTCACGATTATGTTGCAGAATGTACTTCGCTGAATATACAATATATAACTGGATCAGCACATTCGAGAATGACCCAATGCCTGAAGTCCGTTAAGCCTCAAGCAGGCTTTGATCAGGACATGACAAGATCTGAGGAATTGGCGGAGGGAACCACCAGAGAATCCTCATTGGCCGAACCACCACATGATGATGGACGGCTTTCTACGATCTACGAAGAATCAGAGGCTGATCTCGAGTCACACGTTATGGAAGTGCGGTGTGCAGAACTACCAGAAGAGAGGGGACTGCTGGAGGCAACTACACCAGAAGACCGCTTTACCATACCTACACAGATGGCTCCAGATCAAAGTGCGCTGGTCACTGTAGCTGATGAACAGCGGGGGCGCCTGCCGAAGTGGGGGCGCACCTGCGACTCCGACACCGAGGAGACGTACTACGCCCCAATGTGCACCATGGTCGAAGACGACAACTACGGATTGGACTTAGACGACAATGGTCCATATGTCGAACTCCGCTTTACGGCAGAAATGTCAGAAGTAGTCTTGTCCGAACAACATCATATGATACTTGACGCTGGCCGTGCGACCACTATGCGAGCATTCGTCACCGCCGCGGCAAAGCGAGCTGTGGTCGTCAAGGAAGACGACTTCCTCGCGAAAGCTGACGTCTAGGCGAATCCCGATAAAGCATCGCAGGCCCATTACACTGAACTCAAGACATGGTTCGACAACAAGTGTTTTAATATGCAAGATATAGCTAAAGCGTCGAACAGCATGGCTCCGAGATACGCGTGCAAATGGAAGTTCGTGAAGAGAACGAGAAGGGCGAGATGGAACGTGCCGTCATACTGCGCCTGGTACTCCGAGGTCTCATGGACCTTGAAGCCTTCGGCGTAGAAACTTTTTTCGGGAACGGCGCGACGGTCAAGCCAGAGGCTACTCGCCAGCACGGCAGCGTGCAAGAAGCAATGGATCATTGCATCCCTCGACATCAACATGGCCTTTCTGAAAGGGGTTGACCCATCAGGAACTTGCTGGGGCTACTGGTGACGAACGCTACGACGATTCAAAGCACTGCCTGCAGTGCTTGAAACCAGGCGCGGGCACCAAAGACGCACCACGGGCTTTCTCACTAAAGCTCAGAAGGACCACCAGAGGTTTTGGTCTCCGACCCACTTCCTACGACGAGGTGTTCGAGACGAGCAACAACCTGCTCACGGCCAAACACGTTGATGATATCAATATGGCCGGCACTGGGGACTCCATCGACAAGTGTGTCAAGTGCGCAGACGACACTTTTGGCAAGTGTAAACAAGCACACATATACCAACTGCGCTGTAAGATGCACCAAGGATGAGGACGGCCATGTCACTTTGGACCAAGATGAATACATCAAACAGCTCCGTCCTACACAACATCCTGGACTTACCGGCGCCGACGCTGACGCTCAGACATCCAAGATGGTTGCAGACGTGTTCGTCAGCCTCAGGGGCGCGCTGGCGCATGCATTAATCACCCATGTGTGGTTGATGGTGTATGTTGTATCTCTACAACGTGTCCTAGAACCGACCAACACCCAAGTGCGACGATTTGGCGCGATCACCAGGAAGCTGCAGGCCTGCCCAAAGAAGACCGCCTACCAGGCGATGGCTCCTACAGGCGAGGTGGACCTGCACAGCGACTCAGGATGCCGACGCCTGAGTGGAGACGCTGACGACGACGTCAAGGGCTATGGTATTCGCGGGGCAAACCTGCTACGACGTGGAAACACGTCATCCGGTAAACCTGTCGTTCACTTGATCGACGCGCGCTGCAAGTCTCACCGCTTGCAGGCCCGTTCGAGCTATTCAGCAGAGACACGAGCAGCAACTCATAATTTGGAGGACTGTTATCCCACGATTGTGACTCTGCACGAGCTTCACGCAGGACCGCTCACGCCCACTCAGTTGAAATATGCACTTGGGTTGGGTGGCCTGAGCATCAAGGTCACTGTCACCATAGATGCTGAGTCTGTTTTTTAGTCCTTGTCAAGCAAGGACTTGAAGAAGCCGACTGAGTGTACCCTTTTAGGACACATCAGTTGGATACGACAGATGATGGAGCGTGGAATCTTGCACAGCATCCAGTGGTGCGACACCCGCGATATGACCGCGGACGGTCACACCAAGGGTGGCATCGACAGAGAAATGCTCCTACAAGTCATGGGAGGTATACAGGCCTTCAAACATGACTTGAAGAGTCATACTCCATACCGGGTTGGCCAGACACCTAGTTCTGACGCCGCCTGAGGAGTACTTCAAGTACAGAACTGTACAAGCAAGGCAACTTGCGAGCGGGTCCACCTTCCTTCTGGCCCGCTCCTTTTTCTGTCCTTGTGCATATTAGCTGCTGTGCCTGCTGCATAGGGGAAGCGGGCTCACGCTTCGTCTCCCTCCCCCCCCGACTCTAAAGCAAGCTGAGGGGCGTAAGGAGTGGAAGCGAGTGTGCGCCCGCGGCCGCGTCGGCTCAAGCGGCCGGCCGCCCAAATATGACTGTGCCTCACCGCGAGGCACACAATCGCTATCGAGACCAAAAGGAATTGCTTAAGATGGCACATCCTCTCCTACTGGGACTACCGTTACTACGGTACAACAGAGCTGGAGCTTCGCTTCGCCTAAGGCGAAGCTGCTGGGTGGGCCTCCCAGCCCCCTTTCAAATTCTCTTGGGCCGTCTGGAAGCCGTCCTGGGCGTCTTGGACCGTCTTGTGGCCTTCGGCCCATCCCGCCGCCGTGCCTGGGTTGCGTGTTCAAGGCCTCTTGGAAGTTCGCTCGGATATCGAAGGAGGCCTCTCGTGGGCCTTTTCGGAAACAGTTTTGGAAACCTCTTGGGGGCCGTTTGGGGGCCTCGGGCTTCTTTTTGGGCCTTGGAGGGCCTCCAGGGGGCCTCCCGAGGCGGAAGGCTCGAATTGTCCGTTCGCGTTCCCTCTTGGGCCCCTTTTGGGGCCGTCTTGCTTGGGGCCCTCTTGGGCGATCTTCTCAGGCCGTCTTGGGGTTCTCTTGGGGGCCTCTTGGGCCGTCTTGGGGCGGCATTGGGGGCCTCTGGGGCCATTTTGGAGCATCGGAAGCCCATGACGCGAGGACGCGAAAACTATTGAAACACACCCGAGAAGCAACTGATGTTTGCCTGTTTGGGCCCTCTTGGGGGTTCTCTTCGAGCGCTCTTGGGGCTTCGTTGGGGCCTCCTGCTCCCGGGCTGTCTTGGGGCCATCTTGGGCGTCTCGGCGCGCTCTTGGGGTGTCTTGGAGGTCTCTTGGACCCTATTGGGCGCTTTCTGGGGCCCTCGGGCCTTTTTGGGCCGCCTCTGGGAAGCGAGTCGGGGGGTACCACAAAGTGTCCCCGGATGGTTGCGGAGTGGTCGCCCCCAGGCTGGGGGGTATGCTTATTTTTGTTATATATGTATACGTACAAGACAACATTGGCGCTTCGCGCCGTGCACATCGATCCTTGAAGTTTGGTGCGCATGCGGGAGGGCAGGAAGGTCACACAGAAAATCGGGCGATAACTCCTGGTTGCTTTTCCGACATCGACAATTCGCCTGCCCAACGGGCCAACGGCGTGCTAAGATCTCGGGTTGCTGGTAAACCATCTGTCTAACTCGCGCGCGCGGGGCGGGGGTCCCCGGACGAAAAGTACCCCGGGCGGTCCGACCCAGAGATGGTTTTTCCTACTGGGCGTGGCGCGCCCCAGAGCGCTCCTAAAGGGCCCCAAGAGTCCCCAAGCGGGTCCAGAAGGGCTCCGAGTCGCCGACCGATCGGCCCAAGATGCGCAAGATAGCCTCCAGACGGCCGCAGACGCCCCCAAGACGCCCAAAGAGGCCTCGCAGAAGTGTCTCAAGAGGGCCCCAGGAGGCAAACACAATCGATGTCCCTGTGGTTTTTGAATGATTTGGGCGTTCTCATCTGTTCGGCTTCCCGACTCTCAATGACGGCCCAAGAGGCCCCAAATCTCGCCCCAAGACGGCCCAAGAGGCCTCCAAGAGAACTTTTTTCGCCAGGCCCTCCCTCCTCATCCTCCCCAGTTGCCGCGGGAGCGTCGAGAGCCAGATCTTAAAAACGACCCACCCTCCAGTCGTGCATTTGTTGGAAAGGCCGAGCCGCCAGATCATAAGATTACACCAACATGCAATCCGTAGTAGTTTGAGTCCCTGTTGGCTCGACTTCATCCATAGGCTTTGAAAGCCACATGTGCTTACATTACCGAAACACACATCACGCCTGAGAGGCATCTGGAAAGACAGCCTTCTGCGATGGTTTTCATGAAGGGTGGAATATTGATGGTACTATCTGTTGTCCAGACCATGGACACCGCGCTTTCCATGGGGATGCCAATCGGATGGCGCTCAAGAGCGCACAAGAAGACGATTGCGCGTAGCCCAGCGTCCGACACGAGTAACGCCACGGTCTTACGCGGCGCGGCGAATGCGAGCAGTATGGCGCATACGCCAGATGGGCAGGTCATTTTAGACTTGGGCGACGGTGGCGACCCCATCGCAGTCACGTTGTCCAGTGGGAGGGTCGTCATCCAAAAGAGAACCAGTGGCAGCATTGATTTCTTCAGGGGGTGGTCCGAATACAAGTCGGGCTTCGGCGACAACGACAACTTCTGGCTCGGGAATGACAACATCCACCGTCTCACTGCAGCGTCGAGCGAGATCGAGCTGCGGGTGGACCTCGTGGACGCCGATGGTTTGGCGCAGCACGTCACGTACTCCACTTTCCACGTGGACAGCGAAACGAACCTATATCGACTGACAATCGGGGGATTTTCAGGAGACATCGGAGACAGCCTGGCCATCCACAACGGACGCAGCTTTTCAACCAGCGATCAGGACAACGACCTGTACCAGCAGGGCAGCTGCGCCAGTAAGTATTTGGGCGCGTGGTGGTACAACGACTGCCACAAGTCAAATTTGAACGGCCGCTACGAAGGACCTGGAAGTGTATCTGAATATGCTACAGGTATTATTTGGGAGACTTGGAGAGGGTATTATCCGTAAGGGCTTCGCCCCCTGCCGCCGGCCCCCTCTCTCGGAGAATGTGCCATGGAAGAGCGAAGTCATGAGGCTTTGGCTGTGCCGTGAAGCAGTGTCGGGACCTATTTGTTTTTCGACCCTGACCCTGCCGGTCTGCGTGAGGGGTGCCGCCGGATTTCAGAAATGTGGCAAATCCCATGTGCTTTTGGACCCTGACCCCGCCGATCTGCGTGAGGGGTGCCACCGGATTTCAGAAATGTTGCAAATCCTTTATATTTTTGGAACCTGACCACGCCGATCTGCGTGAGAGGTGCCACCGAATTTCAGAAATGCAGCAAATCCTTTCTGTTTTTGGACCCTGACCCCGCCGATCTGCGTGAGGGGTGCCACCGAATTTCAGAAATGTGGCAAATCCCTTGTGTTTTTGGACCCTGACCCCGCCGATCTGCGTGAGGGGTGTAAGGAAATTTCAGAAATGTGGCAAAACATGTCGTGTGTTTTTGGACCCTGACCCCGCCGATCTGCGTGAGGGGTGCCACCGAATTTCAGAAATGCGGCAAATCCCATGTGTTTTTGGACCCTGACCCCGCCGATCTGCGTGAGGGGTGCCACCGAATTTCAGAAATGCCACAAATCCTTTTTGTTGTTGGACCCTGACCCCGCCGATCTGCTTGAGGGGTGCCACCGAATTTCAGAAATGCAGCAAATCCCTTCTGTTTTTGGACCCTGACCCCGCCGATCTGCGTGAGGGGTGCCACCGAATTTCAGAAATGTGGCAAATCCCATATGCTTTTGGACCCTGACCCCGCCGATCTGCGTGAGGGGTGCCACCGAATTTCAGAAATGTGGCAAATCCATAGTGCTTTTGGACCCTGACCCCGCCGATCTGCGTGAGGGGTGTAAATTTTTACCCCCCCTGGAATTCTGAGAACCCTCCGGGGGGGTGCTAACCAGGGCGGTTTTCGGCTCCCCCCCCTCGCGCGGACAGTAGCAATTTACAGCAGGAAGCAGAAAGCAGTACTGTAACAATGGAAACTGGAAACTGGAACTGGTGCAGGGAGCAGCAAGCTTGAGCCTCGCAGCTTGATGGCCCCGCAAGGGAGCCGGCGGATTATTCCATGCAGTCCTCAGAGATGTCCGTAAATTTTTTGCCAGACTGGCAAGTGCTTACCCCCACACCCAGTCCGACGGCTTTCCCGACACCATACCCGACGGCTTTCCCGACACCGTACCCGACGGCCTTCCCGACGCCGTACCCGACGGCCGACCCGACGGCCAGCCCAACGCCAAGCCCGACGGCCTTCCCGACGTCGTACCCGACGGCCTTCCCGACGCCGTACCCGACAGCTTTCCCGACGCCGTACCCGACTGCCTTCCCGACGCCGTACCCGACAGCCTCTAGTCCGAAGGCCGTCCCGGCGACAGTGTCGTCTGCAGCGTCTGCAGTTGGCGATCCGCACCTGCAGAACATTCATGGTGAGCGGTTCGACTTGATGAAGGCGGGCAGACACGTCTTAATCCACATTCCACGGAGGGACGATACGAACACCCTACTTCGTGTGGACGGGGACGTGCAAAGGTTGGGTGGACAGTGCGCTGACATGTATTTCCAAGAGCTGAACATTACAGGGTCGTGGGCGAATGTGAAACGCGCTGGCGGTTTTCACTACCGCGCTCAGGGCGTCGGCCCCCAACGCTCCCGCTGGGTCAAGTTTGGGACAGTCCAAGTGAAGGTCGCCCACGGTCGCACGCAACAAGGCTTCAAGTATCTAAACATTTACGTGAAGAACCTCGGTCGCGCAGGGTATCCAGTCGGAGGCCTACTCGGCGAAGATGACCACACCGAGGAGGCGATGCCGCCCCAGGCGTGCCACCATCGGGTCGCCTTGTAAGCAAGGCGTTGCGACTGCTATCCCAATGCTGGGGCCACAGCGTCTCTGAAGAAGCGCCAGAGCTGGCAGCACAGGTGCTTGATCGAGAGCAGTCGGGGTTACGCACGGGCGCGGCCAGTAGGCCAAAACTCTGCCTTGAAGTGATGGCATCAGCAGCTAGTGGCGGTGGCACGCGAAGTGGCCGGCCAGAGCACGTGGCGGTGTACTTGGCTCCTCCTCCTTCTCCTTCTCCTGTTCCTCCTCCTGCTCCTCCGCTCCCTCACCGAACACGCCTGCGGCGAATCACCGCCGCTCCTTGCAGTTTGGAAGCGCATGGGTGCCCGATTGTTGTGACCAGAGCTCGGCCAAGTTATTGGATCATGTATCCCCAGCCGTTATGACAACGCTTCGGGGAACACGTGGGGGAGCGAAGAGGAGGAGGAGGAGGAGGAGGAGGAGGAGGAGGAGGAGGAGGAGGAGGAGGAGGAGGAAGGATCTCTTCGGGCTTTCTTGGAGGCTCTCTCGGAGGCCTCTTCGGGGCGTCGTGGGCTATCTTGGGGCCGTCTTGGGTCTATCCGGGGCCGTCTCGGATGCGTTTTGCGGCTTTGCTGGGATCTCTTGGGTGTTTTGTAGGCATCTTGGAGGCCATCTTAAGCCGTCTTGGCCGTCTGGGAGCGGGCAGACCGATGCTTCGGGGAACACGTGGGGGAGCGAAGAAGAGGAGGAGGAGGAGGAGGAGGAGGAGGAGGAGGAGGAGGGATCTCTTCGGGTTTTCCTGGAGGCTCTCTCGGAGGCCTCTTGGGGGCGTCGTGATTCTAAAGCGAGCTGAGGGACGTAAGGAGTGGAAGCGAGCGTGCGCCCGCGGCCGCGTCGGCTCAAGCGGCTGGCCGCCAAATATGACTGTGCCTCACTGCGAGGCACACAATCGCTATCGAAACCAACAGGATTCTCCTATTGCTTAAGATGGCACATTCTCTCCTACTGGGACTATCGCTACTACGGCACAACAGAGCTGGAGCTTGGCTTCGCCTAGGGCGAAGCTGCTGGCTGGGCCTCCCAGCCCCTTCAAACTTGGTATCGGAGCTGGCCTATGGTGGTCAGCTCTAGCTCTACTCCTCACCGTCCACGGCAGTATCTGGTGGACTACGGACATGGTGGAACATCAGGGTGCAGTGGGTTTGCGCGGAGGAATGTACATAGCTACGCAACATCGCCAGGACACTTGCAGCGATACCTCTGCTCAAGTCGAGGTCTCTTACCTACATCCTACATCCCACCTACTCCAAGTGGACATTTCTTCGAAGATATAGTGCATGGAAACATGCGATCTGAAATACTGCCGCCTCCAACCCCACGCAGACTTACGACTACCCAACGGAAGTCCCAACCGACTACATCCGACTACGACCTACGAGGCCATTGGATTGGTGTTACTATATTGGGGCTCATATGGGTCACGATCGGGTGCGCGGTAGGACACATGCGTGGCGGAGACGACACAAAAACGACTGGCCCTCACTGGGACCCAGCCGCTAATTCGTCCACGAAGTACACGCCTGGATCAACGTGACCACAGGCAATATGACGCCCCCCCAGCAGGCTGCAGCTCTGCAGCGAGGTTTGGGAGGTCTCGCACGGACCATAGCCATGAGAGTCCTTCCAGCAGTCATCAACTTTGGCGTTAGCATAGGTGGCCGCCATACTGACGGCGCCACCTACATCATGTTCCTATGAAGCATGAAGTTCGAGAACTTAGAAGAGGAACGCCAACTCAACTCTGGTACGGTTCTCATTGATTTCCGAGTCCTTGCGGGGGAACGCATCGACCAGACGTTCGCACGGCTTGAGACAGCCCGCTACGAAGCTGAAAAAGCCGGCTTCAACATCCCCAATTTCCAAATCCTAACAGTGATTATATTCAGAGCGCTTGGAGTGGGGACGTCGCGTGCACAACATCTCGTGCAGCCTCCTAAACCACCACATGCCGAGAGACCAACAACAGTTTGACGCTCTACTCGAACGTATGAGGTCATATGCTCACATTGCTGAGAACCCCCGGCAATATTGGTGGTATTTTCAGTCACGGTTTCCGAGCCGAGACCTTCCACGTGGAGGCCAACGCAGGGCAACCTGCCAACAACGTTTGGAATGATGATCCACAACCAACTGAGACCACGACATTGTTGGCTCAGAATGGTGGAACGGCCTCGGGGTCGCAAGACTCTTGGGCCAGGCTTCGGGGACCGCCCGATGCGGTTTCCCCTATGCAAGCCATGACCCGAATGGGCTCAGCGGAGCAGCCCGCCAAGTCCGACTTCGACTCCGGTATTGATGCCGATGCGTCTTCAGACGATGAAGCTACAGCCCTTGATTACTCTGATATGCCAACGTACCTTACTGAAGAGCAGCAAGCGCAATGGTTATTTTTAGGCGATCAAAAACACAAGCGTCGCTGGCGGAGATTCATGAAGAAACCACTCCGGAAGGTAAGGCGTATCGCACGACGAGCACTTGAAGGAAAAGGCAAAGGTCGAAGTAAAGGTGAAGGTAAGCGTCTGCGATTGCATGGTAGAGGCACACTTGTATTCTTAGCATCACTTACTAGACCCCAGTATGACGACATGTTCTTAGGCACCGGCAGAAACCGCAGGCATACATCGGGAAAAGGCAAAGGACGATGGGGAAACCCAAAGGATGCCAACGGTAAAACTATGGAGTGCGACACATGCCACAGTACACAGCATTTCCGACGCGAGTGCCCCCAAGGTGATGGAAGAGGCAGGGGTCCGTCAATACATCTGGTTCATACAGACTCCGACATGCAGCACGTTGACTGGGAGTCACTTTTAGCTGACCCTGCCGATAGCCCAGCCACAATTGTTAATTTCATGGCTGCCAGATATCTCAGCTCCAGTATGACCCTCGAGAATTACACTGACGAGCTGTTCGAGGAGGTGTTCACTGGCCGCTACGATATCGATTTGGCAGAATGGCTCGGTATACCCATCGCGGGGCAACCTGCAGATATTGAGTTTGTCGAGTATTTCCACATGCCCGCTGAAGGAGATTTTGGCGTGAGGGGGGGCGCCCGCGGATACAGAAGTTACCACTCCTGCAGCAGACGAGGAAATACGATTGATGCTTTCATCCTCGGGTTATTGGAAATCCGACAGATCTGGAGTTCAGCGATGGCGATCCTTTGCGGGGGAACCCGCGAGGCGCCGGCGATCTATCTGAGCGTATTCAATATGAGCATGGTCATAGTGAAGGATTTGAAACATGCTTGCAGGGGTATGCTGAGAAGCTCGTTGAATGCCGTCATCTTGCATTCCGCATTCTCTGGGCTCAAGTTTTTCTCTCGGGAAAAAAGCTTGATGGCCCCGCGTGCCTACCGCGGCCCGCTGGCCCTGGTCGCCGCGTCGGTGCCTGGGCTGGCCTCGCTGCCGTGGCACTCGGCGCAGTCCAACCTCCTCGCGGCGCTCTTCGGCGCCGAGGCCCAGCGGGCCGCGATCGCCGCCGGGTCGGCGACCAGGGGCCCCGAGGGCCCGCGCCCCGACCGACGCCGGCCTCGCCAGCTCGAGGCGCCCGAGGCGCAGCCTGAGCAGGCACCGCGCCCCATCGCGGAGGGCGACGCCGACGCCGCCGCGCTGAGGACCGAGGCGATCCAACCGAGAAGGGCCATTCCAGATCGGGCAGTCTCGCGCATTCTGTAAGGAGGAATGGCGCAGGTTGGAGATTACATCACGATAAGGTACAACCTGGAGGAGGAGGAGGAGGAGGAGGAGGAGGAGGGGGAGCCGCTGTCTCACGAGGAGCTCGGCACAGGTGCGAGGCAGGAGCTGTTGAGTGTAGTATCCATTTACACTCCCGACGGCGACCACTATGACAGGAAAGCCGCCATCGGTGGCGGTGTCTATTCTGATCACTGGACCGAGGATGAGCTCGCGTGGGAAGCCCATGTCTTCGGGGACAGTGCCATGATGCCGCTGGCGGGTGTTGACACCGCGGTGCTCATGCAGTTCGATCGGAAGGATCTTGACGACTACGTCAACGATGACCTGAGAGCGTTTTCAGACCGCTCTGTCGGCACGGGTCGGCAAAGGGGCGTTCCTCGACGCCGTCGACCGCATGGTGGGCGCGCTGCCCGAAGGCGCCTTCGAGCTCACGGGTCCGCGCGCGCGGGCATCAGCTGCAGGACTCCGCCCCCCGGTCCCGGACTCCTGCGACGCAGTCGGAGCGCTGGGGGGGGGGGGGGGGGGGGGGGCGCCAAGATGCAGAACGGGGACACGTCGCAGCATGAGCGCGAGGCGCTCTCCCACATCCTGGAGGCGATGGCGCGCGTGGACCAGCTCAGCGCGGCCGTCGGCCAGTCGGGGGAGCTGATGGCTGCGAGGCTCCGTTTCACCGAGGACGCACCCGCCCGCGCTAGAGCTGGGGGCGCGCCAGACTACAGCGCGGCTGACTGCTACATGGGCTGGTCTTCGCGCAGGAAGGGAGTGGTCATCGACCCGCATTTGCGCCACCCCGCTGCCGACAACCTCCGCGGCGAGCCGCAGGGCGCCACGGGGGCGAGCAAGGCGAGGGAGGAGCAGCGGCTGCGCGCGCAGACTGGCGGCGGCATGAAGGACGGCAGAAACGACAAGGAGCGCCCCTGATGGGGCGGGGGCGCGGGACCTGGCCAGCCCGCGCCTCATCTGGGGCCACTGCGCGGAATTCTGGGCGAGATGAGGTTCGCCCTTGCACCGCGATGCATGGGCTGCTCGGGCCAACAGGGTCTGGGCATCATCGAGAGAGCTGCTCCCTGTGCCTCACGTCCCGGCCACGCTTCCTACGACTCCTGGGGCCTCGCACTGCGCTCGGAGGAGGCTGGCTCGTCGCCGCGGGGTCGAGGAGGGGGTCAATGAGGCACTCGCGGTTTTGAATGAGGTGAGCTGCGCGGGGGAGGGGTCGGAGACCCCTCGGCCGTCGCCGGCGCAGCTCACTTCGCAGGAGGCGCTGCTCGAGCTGGCCCCCTTTCTTGCCTTCACCTGCCAACGCGCGCGGCCGCCGCGGGGCCGCCGACGAGCTCCTGGCTAGCGTGGTCGACTACGCCGGGGTCGACCAGGGTGCCGCAGTGAGGCCGTGCAAGCGCTCTCTGGTGTCGATGCCAGCGGTGCGGGAGAGCTCTGCTCCATTGACTTCGGCGGCTGGTGAGCTGGAGAGGGAGTTGCTACAGCGGCCAGCAGGGGCGATGCCAGCAGATTCCGACGATGCGGGTTGGGGGCGTGAGAAGATGAGCTTGATCAAGCCCTACATGGGCGAGGTTTTGCGCGCGGACAGGTCCCTGCACCTGACCTCCCTCGAGGACCTTTGCGGCGCTTCGCTCA